CCGCACTGCATGTTGCTCAGTGAAGGTGCTGCAGCTGGAAGCATCTCTTCTTCCATAGCGTAGTTTATCCCTTATCTTAGGTTTTTTTTTCTAGATATTTATTACTGCCAATTGATCTAGACACGGTACTTTATTGTACATACCTGATTACATGTCTAGTAGTTTTGTTCTTTCGATCATCATGTTTAATCTATTCATCATGATTTATCTATTGTGTTTCTGGATTAATTTCTATGGAAAATTACTAAAATATCTAGCAACCCAAAAACCTTACATGTGTAGGTAATTTTCTCTGATTGCTTTTGATGCAACTCTCAAGCCTCCTACGTTTGAGGGTGTGAATGACAAGAGGTTTCGTGCGACGGCCGTTCTTTGGCTTATCACCATGGGTTTTCACACCTCTGTGGGCAAGCCAGAGGGACCACTTACTCCTAAACAAGAGCTAGCTTCACATGCCATAAAGACTCTCTTCAAAGGTGTTGTTCTGAGTGTTCTTGGTGGCAAGATCATCGATCCTTTCATGAACATTATGGTTAGTAAGGATATGTGGGATGTGTTCAAGGCCAAGTTTGGGGTCTCGGATTCAGGCAATAACTTGTATGTCATGGAACAATACCATGACTACAAGATGACTAATGACCTCTCTGTGGTTGAGCACATGAGATTCATTCACTTGCTAAGGAACTTGAGCACTTTAACTGTGTGTTGCTGAACAATTCTATTGCGGGAGGCATCACTACCAAGCCTCCTCATTTGTGGAGGAAACTTGTCACTTCTCCAAAATACAAGAGACAAGAATTTTTGTTGTCAATCTCATTGGATGTGGAAGAGAAGGGGAGGGCGCAATACACATGTGCTTATTTCCACGAGGAGAACTCGTGAGCTAGCCAGCTTGGTGCACAAGAATTTTCAATCCCACAAATTCAAGTAGGTCACGTGGTTGCAAAACCATCTTATATATATATATATATATATATTATGGGATGGAGGGACTAGGTCACATGTTTTTGTTCATGGTGTTGGTATCATTAATGTAGAGTTTACGCAAGGAAATATTGTGTGGCTGAAGAATGTGCAACATGTCCCTCCGGTAACTAAAATCTACTCGAGACGACTCTATTCTGTGTCGAGATGGATATAAGTTAGCCTTTGAGTCCAAAAAATTTGTTACGTCTAAATGTGGAAAATTTATTGGTAAAGGTTTTGGGTGCGAAGGCTTGTTTATCTGATCTTAGTCATACATTTGCACTAAAGTTAGGACCTGTTTGGGGCTGCTCTAGTCCACCAAAATCAGTTTCACTCCATCAAATCCTCTTTAAAGCAGTTTCGTACAGGAGTTGGAGCTCCACCAAAGAGCAGTTTGTCATGTTTGGCTTCCACTTACTGGTGCGATTTGGTGGAAAGGATCTATTTGGTTGGATGATGTGGAACAAACAAAGGGATGTCCACTTACTGGTGGTAGTGGTGCCCCAGTTCCAGCTTGTAGAGTTTTTGGAGCACCCGCTCAAGAGCTTCACAAAAAACAGGGAGTTGTACTCCAGATTCTAGTTTTGGAGCCGCATATCATGGGGCTACCTCGTTTGGCCTGCGTTTTTAGAGTGGAGCTGAATTTTAAGAGGCAGAGCAGTCCCAAATAGGACCTTAGTGATCATGTTTGCAACAAAAGGGAATTAAATGTTTGGCATTCACGACTTTGCCATATTAACTTTGGTTGCATGACGTGGTTAGAAAATTTGATTTTAATCCTGAAATTCATGACTATCAAAGGTTCTAAGTGTCAAGTGTGTGCAAGCAAAACAACCTAATAAATCTCATAAGATTGCCGATTCAAGGAACTTGGCACCATTGGAACTTATACATTTAGATCTTTGTGAGATCAAAGGTGTGTTTACCAAGCGTGGAAGAATATATTTCATAACTTTAATAGATGACACTACTAGATATGGGATGATATATCTGTCAAAATAAATAAGACATGATGCTTTGAACTATTTTAAAATCTATAAAGCCGAAAATAGAAATCAACTTGATCGAAATATCGAAAGGCTTAGATCGGATCATGGTGGAGAGTATTTTGCAATGAGTTCAATTTAATCAGCAAGGAATATTGTATAATCTATGAGAGAACACCTCCCTATTCTCCCCTGTCGAATGAGGCTGCTGAAAGAAAGGAACACACTCCAACTGAGTTGCTTAACACCATGTTAGACACGACTGGTCTTTCACAGGAATGGTGGAGAAGGCTCCGATGACTGAAAGTCATGTCATAAATAGAGTTCACACAAACACTGTGCAGTAATGCCTAATAGTGGCGGGCGAAAAAAGCCTAGCAGTGGCAGGCAAGGTCCTTAGAGGCGCCCGCTACAAACATTCTCGACTTCTAACACAACATCAGTGGCGACAAACTCATTAGTGGAGGGCATACTCCGATGCCCGCCACTTCCGAAATTTGAAGCAGTGGCGGGCATATTTGTGCACCTACCATTGAAAGCTTTGACATGCAAATCACTACTGCAGGATTCTGCTAACGCAACACTACAACCATAGACCCTTCGACGAAACTGTGTGTGATGCACAAATCACAAACAGTGTTGTAGTTAAATTGTCACAAATAATACGAACCGTTTGTGATGGCGGAGACATCAAACACGATTCATATTATAGGTGCGTGCGCGATATGTCGCATATAGTTGATCCATACAAACTGTTTGCCATGTGACAGAACAATAGAAATGGTTAGCCATATCAACTGTGTGCGATAGGCAGCATACAATTTAGTCAGTTTGCGATGATTGAGAAGAATACAAATGATTCGGCGTAACAAGATGTGTGTGATACCCGACAAATAGGTCGGTAATCAAAATTGTGTGTGATCATTATAGACAGTGCTGATTTTTTGTTGTGAATTGTGTGCTCGACAAGGCACACAATTTTAGAAATCAACATGTGGGCAATAATGTAAAAGATCTGTGTCGAATACGTATTGCTAACCGTCTGCGATGAGATTGACATGGAAAACAGAGATAACGAATTAATATGAGCGAACGGCAACAAAGATATATACAATATGCTTAACTTAGTCCTTGTTGTTGGATGGCCCCACGACATTGTCTTGGCAAGGACACTTCTTGCCCCTCACCGTTGGCTTTTCATCACGGCTGTTGTTGTCATCGTCATTGTTGTTGTCGTCGTCCTCCTCCTCATTCGACCTTTCCTCCTCCTCATGATCATCGTCCTCTTCTTCGTCCTCCGACGGCTCCTCGTCCGTATGGTTGTCGTCTGACGACTCGGGCGGCGGTATCTCTTCCATCATCCAGATAAAATCAAGGTCTAGGCTCGACACCGGACTCATGGAAGATGAGCAGGATGATTCCGATGTTGACCTATCATTGGGCGCCAGACTACTGGCGGAACTGTCGTCCTTGCTGTCGTTCGACATGGCTGTGGTATGTATAGAAACTGCGAGAAAGCAAGAGTGCATAATGTGTAGTGCGACCGGTCAGGACAATGAATATGGTGGACAATGAAGTGGGGAA